TTTAGGAAGTAATTAGTTTCTTACCCTTAAATATGATGTCAGTTGTGCGGTTTGGGGTAGTATCAGATTGAGGGAAGTTTTCTGTATTCCTAGTTTAAGAGTTTTTACCATGAATAGATGTTGGATTTTGTCATATTTTTTTCTATATTAATAACCATAGTGATATGATTTTTCTTTTATATCCTGGTAGGAAGAATTATATTGACAATTTTTTGAATATTGGACCAGCCTTACAACCTGGAGTAAATTTCATTTGGCCATGGTGTCTAATTCTTCTTATACTTTATTGAATTCAATTTACTGTATTTTGTTGAGGATTTTGCATCTACGTTATGAGAAATATTGGTCAGTATAGTCAGTCCTCACTTAATGTCCCGGATAGGTTCTTGGAAACTGCAACTTTAAGCAAAATGACTTAACAGCAGGTCCTGGAATAATGTCATTTCATTCAAAGTTCTTTCCCTATAATGTTGGTGAGAAAAAAGTGGGTTTCATTATATGATTTTGCTTAAAGTTGCATTCTACAAGAACTTAAGTGATGACTTGCTGTACTTTTACTTTCTTGTTATGTTTTTATGTGCTTTTGATATTATGGTAATGCTGGCATTATAGAATGAGTTACAAAGTGTTACCTATGCTTTTATTTTCTGAAAGACATTGTAAAGCACTTGTATTATATCTTCTTTAAATATTAGGCAGAAATCACTACTGAAACCATCAAGGCCTAATGCTTTCTTCATAAAAAGTTAAGTATCTTAATCTAGTATCTTTAAGAAATATAGTATCATTTTAATTATTTCTCCTCGTGAGTTTAGTAGTTTGTGTCTTTCTTCTGAGTTTCAGTAGTTTCTGTTGATGCAGCTGTTTTCAACAACCTAACTTCTCCCTCAGAATAAGGTCTCCTCTATTTCAGTTGGTGGGTGACGCCCAGGAGCAGTGTTCAGGCACAGATGGGGGGGCCAGAGGGTTTTCAATAAAGGGAGGCACAGCAAGGCTGACGCGCACTGGGTTGGGTGGTGGCATTTGATGTGTGGGCACTTAGGTTTCATCAGGGCAGTAAGGCCAGTGAGGACGTGGACTGGGATGTGATGAAAGCCAGATGAGACATCGAGGGTCAGGGAAAAGAGACTTCCGAAGCACTCTGACCTCACCTGTCAGAGCAGGCCTGCTCTTATGCAAGATAGAGAGCCATGTGGGTACCAGCTTCTAATCTGATTGTCAGGTGGGAGATACCTGGGAGCCCTAGGTGCCGAGAGCCACCACTCCCCATTCGGGCAGCAGGGCAGGGCAGAATGTGGCTTAAAGCCCTCTTCCAGCCTCCACCACCAGGGCCTGGGGAGGGAAGAGAGACCTGAGGCCCAGCTGAGGGGCGCCCTAACTCTCAGGTTGACAGCCAGGTGTGTGGCACCCAGCTGTGGTTTGAGCAGCTTGGAAGGCATGGGGCTGACCCAGGCTGGGCTTGGGGAGCCAACTACCCATGAGCCTGCTGGGACGTGGTCAGATGCCTGGAGGCCCTGGGAACTGAGTCCAGTTCTGGGCAGACAGTGGGGGGGGGGCCCAGTTGCCCCTGCTAGCATCCACGGATGACCCCGGCCACACTCTTGCAGTCTCCCTTGTGCTCTAGAGCTAAGGGGCTTGGGGCCTGGGTAGGACTTGGGAGGGAGACCACCTGAGAACACTGGGTTCTGCAGATCCTATCACCCCACCTCCATACCCAGCCAGCCAGCTCCAGCTTTCTCCAAATACCGCCTGCCCCCAAGGCCCTGCCCACCACAGTCATGTTGCCCTCAGGGACCCAGCACCTCTTACGGCACATGCAGACAGGGTCCAGCCTTGCAGCTCACAGACCCAGTCACATCATCTTGACAAAAGACGTTTTCTCCTCAGCCACTACCAGCACCCGGGAGGGCCTGGGAATTGCAATGGGCACCCCAGCCCCCAGACCACAGCCCAGTATCGGTCCATGGCCTGTTAGGAAAATGGGGCCTCGCATCACCGCCTGAGCTCCGCACCCCTCCTCTTCCCCACATATGTGGAAACCCACTGCTCTAAAGCACAGGCTGCTGCCCTGCCCTATGGCATAGTAAACATTTCCTCTGTTAGACAGGAGCTGCCCTCGTGGGGAATGAAATGGCCTCCTGCTACAGGGAAGGGCCCAAGAAACAACAGTCCTTACTCCCGTACTCCATCCTACAGACTGGGGGTGCACAATGGTCCTGAGAAAACACAAGGAAATGGAAATTTGAGTGGATGTACAGTCTGCATCTAATACTTTTCAGATGTGGCTTTCATTCTATACTCCCTAATTTTGACATTTCAAAACATTTTGGTCTCTACTGTGTCCAGGTATTCTTGTTTCTTCATTATTGTGGAAGGCCATATTCTTAAAAACACAGAGAAGGCCGGGCGCGGTGGCTCACGCCTGTAATCCTAGCACTCTGGGAGGCCGAGGCGGGCTGATTGTTTGAGCTCAGGAGTTGGAGAACAGCCTGAGCAAGACCGAGACCCCATCTCTACTAAAAATAGAAAGAAATTAGTTGGACAACTAAAAACAAGTAGAAAATATTAGCCAGGCATAGTGGCACATGCCTGTAGTCCCAGCTACTTGGGAGGCCGAGGCAGGAGGATCGCTTGAGCCCGGGAGTTTGAGGTTGCTGTGAGCTAGGCTGATGCCATGGCACTCTAGCCTGGGGAACAGAGCCAGACTCTGTCTCAAAAAAAAAAAAAAACAAAAAAACACGAGCCTCTCCTCACTTATGCACTTTTCACCCTTTGCCATCTTCTCCTGGAACACGTCATTTCATCATCACATTAATCAGTTGTTGTCAGTGTAATGACATGATAAGAAAAGTTATATGGATGAGTCGGTCTGAGGGGTCAAACTATGGGTGATACCAAAGAACACTGATTTCTGGACAGCGAGCAACTTTAGAGTATGAGAAAGCTACACTGGCTGACAAAACATGGGACACCCTCCTTTATGCTTTGAGAGAAGAACAGATGACAAGTGGTTGGGCTCACTAGAAAGACTCAGTGAAAGGCATTATACTTGGGGTAATGGCTTATTATAAGGAAAGGATACAAACTAAAATAGCCAAGGGAAGAGCACATAGGGCAGAGTCCAGGGAAAGTACCAGAGGTGGAGCTTCTGTTATACTCTCCTGGGGGACTCAGGATGCATTAGTTTCCCAGCATCGGTATGTGACCAGACACACACAGGATTGCCAACCACAGAGGCTCAACTGAGCCTCAATGACCAGAGTTGTTTTTTTGGCTCTATTACGTAGGCATGGTTGACTGCCCACATAACTGGTCTCAGTCCCCTCGAGGGGTAACCCAAAGCCCCCACCCCCACTCTCAATCATACTGTTAGACTGTCCATGTGACCCAAGGTCCCCAGGCAAACACAGATTACTTCTCAGAAGCTAAGGTGAAAACCTAGACCTCTCTTTGGGCAAGGTTAAATTCTTTCTTATGCAGTGTGTTATACCTACTGATATTTACCATATTAGAAATTAAAACAAAAAATTAAAATGTTTATAAATTTATGTAAAAATTCAATATTATATGTTAACATAAATACATACTTTTATGGAGGGAAAAACCATCCACATTTTCCAAAAAAAGAGAAATCAGTAAGAAGGGTAGCAATGTTACATAATTTGTGCAAGTGTCTTTAATGAGTGGCTTAATTTAAGTCTTTTCAGATTACTGTGGATATTCTTCTTTGATACTACACCAAAACTTGACTAGATTTAGTTTCTTAAAGGTTAGTTGTCATGTGGAATCTGAAACTTATCAATGGACTTTATGTACTCTGTTACATGACAATTTGTTTATCTTGCACTTTACATAGATCTTTTATTCATGCATGCTTTTGTACCATCATTTGGAAAATATGGGTTCACTGAGTTATGCAGATCTTCCAAATGTTGATTTATTTAATTAACCAATGTCAAAAATTACATTTGTTTTACTGCTAATCTCATTAGAAAAGTTTTTACATACTGAGAATCTGTCAAGCTCATGGTAAACACAAGTATTTAAAAATTATTATTTTTTCTTCAAAGCTAAGATTTTAAAATGAGCAATATATGTTTTATTTGAAGTCAGAGGCTCACTTTAATTATTTTAACAAAATGTCACCAAATACCCAGGTTTGAATATTCACAGTTTTTCGGTCATTCTTTTGAGTAAAAATGGTGTTTTAAGAAAAAAGAAGCTAGTTCAACTTACAACTCAGCAATCACCCAAGTGCTTTTCCTCAAGGCAACCATCATACTTTGGTGGTAGAAGTGTTTTGTGTATACTTTCCATTTTGTTACACAGAATATTAAAAAGCCATGAACTCAAGGGTTGAATTTTAATAAAATTAAGCATTTTTATTGGCTTATCTAGGATATTTTTAAGTGACATTGGCATTGTTCTACCCAGCATTGCTTTTGCACTATCAGTGAAAAGGTACACACAGTGAAAAAGGTAAATAATGTCTTAGTATTGCTATAAAAACAGTTTGGATCTTACAAATTCCTCTTTCCCCAAGAGTCTTGGAATCCCTGGGATGTGATGGACCACACATCCAGAACTCCTATCCCATAATAGCTAAAGCTGCGTAGGCTATTACCTAAGGAGAGCTCAAGGTCTTCCCAATCTCTTTCCTTCCCCCTCCTCCCTGCCGAAAAGAGGTCAGCATGAAAGAGCCAAAGGGACCTTTAGCTTTGGAGATTAAACCTCCCTCACTCCTGATAAAACTCTCACTTTTCTTCATTCAGTTATTTTAATGACCTTCTCCTCTACATTCCAAATATAGTTACATCTGCTTTACTGTTCCAATTACCTAAAATTCCAGTGTGTCCTCCTGAAGGGCTCCCCCCGCCCCCAGGAGTCCTGAAATGCAGCTCTGTCCTCCTGAGGAGAGGAGACAGCTGGATTCCAATGAGACCACTGCAGCCACCCCTTTTTGCCACATGGGTCACTACTAAAAATAAGTTCTGCACGGCATGACATTGGACATTTATCCAGAGCTGCTAGCTCTCCGTGGATGCTGCTGGCTCTCTTCCCAGACCTACACCCTCAACACCCTGTCCAAGCCCACTCCCACTGTGGGACCAGGGTGCTCTAAGGTCATGGTCTTTAACTCACACTCCCTTGCTCAGCCACGTTCTCCAAACCAGAGCAAGAGAGAGTTGGCCTGGAGGAGCTTCTGCATCACCACACGCTGCTCCCCCAACCCCTGCCAGCCTGGACCCCCTCTGTCTTCCTTGCTCTTTGCCACCTCTGAGCCTTCACTGGGGTTTGTGTGGCTCAGCTCAGGCTTCCCTGGGGGCCTCAGTGGGCACCCAGTGTCCAACCTGTGAGCCAGACAGGACACTTAGCTTTGTCCGCCTCCAGCTGTTGTCTTCCCTTCCTCCTTTCTCACTCCCCTGCTATTTTTCCCCTGGCTCTGAGTCTCCACACATCAAGTGTATCAAAGTGCTGTGATACCTGATGGTTGTTTTCTATTTTTTCTTTCCGTTAGGTAGATAGTGAGGGATTCCAGCTCTCCTAGGGATAAAAGTGGGTGTTGCTGTCATTCACCCCCTGCAGATGGGCTTTCAGAGAGGCTCATGGGAGATCTGCATGTGCAGTAAGACTCATGTCATGCAACTCCCAACTGTCCAAAGTGGTTCCATGGTGACGTCTGAACCATGAGGGAGGTCACTATCCGGCCACTATAAAACAAGACACAGACCGTAACCAACTCTCTTTTTGTGCCCTTCCTTTGGCTCTGCCTTTGCTGCAACAGTGGGTTCAGTCGTCATCTGTGGCATATGTATCTCACCCTGTAAACCTATGTCTTGCTCTTGCCCTATAATCCTATCTTTCTCTACTCAATAAACCTCACTTTCATGCTTGCCTAACTTTGGTGCATCTGGTCATTCTTCGGCCATGAAAACACCAAGAACTGACATTTCAGACTGAAATCTCACATTTCTACTTTTATTTCCTTTATATTTCTGTAGGGTGAAAATTTCCTGCTTCCATTAGTTTTCCTTAACTGCTTTTAATTGTAAAAGAAATGAAAGCATATGATAAAAATTGGAATCATAAAAAGGGTATAAAATGAAAAGCAAGCAAGACCTCTGGCCTTCAAATCCCTGTCTCTGAAGGTGTTAATGGTCTCTTGTGTTTTCTTCCAAAAATTGTCTGTGCACATATCAAGTGTCAATGGAAAAGAAGCCAAACTCTAAAATAATTTTAAAGAGATTTATTCTGAGCCAAATTTGATGCCCATGACCTACCTGGAGCCACACCCAAGAAGACTTGAGCAAGTGGACTCGCTGTGGCTGGGTTAGTTTGGTTTTATACATTTCAGGAAGACGGGGGTTAAACAAATCATTACCTGAGAGGCATACATTGGTTTGGCCCAAAAAGGTGGGCCATCTTGAAGCGGGGACGGGTTATAGGTTATAGGTAGGTTTGAAGATTCTTTGATTTGTAATTGGTTACAGACATGAAGCTTTGTCTAAAGGCTGGGAATGTTTTAAGATAAGGAGGTCTGTTAAGCAGAGACAAGCCATTGAACATACATTTGTTGTGTAAATTGAGGACCTGCAGGTTTGTCTTGCATAGCTTTAGGCCTGTTAATGAGTTACAAAGGATGTCCCCAAGAAGGGAGGGGGCATGATGAGGCATGTCTGACCTCCTTCCTTGTGGCAGGCAATTTAGTTTTAGGACATCCCCTTGGCCAAGAGGGGGTCCACTCAGTCAGCCCGTGTGGGAGATGGGGGGGGCCTTAAGATTTTCTTTTAGTTCACACAAAAGTCCAAATAAAATTTCGCCTGAGAAAGCCTCCTTACCAGCATACTTGAGTTCTCCCGTATAAACTGAAACCCACCTTAGGCGTGTGCTTCTGTAACAATGGTGAGCCTCAACCAGTCACAGCAGCTAGACTTCAACCACTCACAGGTGGCCAATTCTTCAAACCCTGCTCAAATAGGGCAAAGCAGAGCTGGAACCAATCCAACTATTTCCTTACCTCTGTCAATGGAAAAGGAGCCAAACTCTGTAAAATAATTGAAAGAGGTTTATTCTGAGCCAAGTTTGGGGACCATGGCCCAAGAGCCACACCCATGAAGCCTTGAGCAAGTTGACTCACTGTGCCTGGGTATTGTTTGGTTTTATACATTTCAGGGAGAGAAGAATTACATATAAAGTCATAAATCAATATATGGAAGGTGTTTGGCCCCAAAAGGTGGAACATCTCAAAGGCTGGGGCTTATATGTTATACATGGGTTTGAAGACTCTTTGATTTGTAATTGGTTGAAGAAATGAGGCTTCCTCTAAAGGCTTGGAAGTTAAGAGAAGGAAATCTGTTAATCAGAGACAAGCCACTGGCTGTATGCTCAAGTGCCGTGTTCTGTCAATGGAGGACCTGCAGGTGTGGTTGAAGCTTTGTCTTCCCCAGCCTTCAGTCTGTCGATGAGTTACAAAGGTTGTCTCCAAGAAGGGAGGGAGGCATGATGAGGCGTGTCTGACCTCCCTCCTTGTGGCCAGTAACTCAGTTCTAGGGTATCCCTTTTGCCAAGAGGAGGTCCATTCAGTCAGCTGGGGGAAGCCTCAAATTTTATTTTAGTTCACAAATGTCAAAGGAACATAGAGTGTATCTGGAAGAAATTCTACAAATGAATTCTGTAAAACAAGGGACTATCGTGGAAAGCCAAGTCATCAGGGAATTGTGATTAATGAGAGATGTATGTAATATACATGATAGACATATGTAATATACATACTTATAAATTATTTCAGATAAGCAACTATTCGTACAATCGTAGTACCCTATTTGTTAAATCTGGCAATTTACCCAAGGAGCCCGAAACCTCAGAACCTTTTCGAAGGGAGCGGGCGCGAGGGTTTATGGGAAATGTAGTGTGCACTTTCTGGCGCGGGCCGCGGGAGCCGCTCCGGGCCTTCTGCGCATGTGCATCGCGCTCCGTCGGAATTTGTTTTTATCCTCCGACCGGGGCCTCGCGAGGAGACGGCCCGGAGCCCCGGCAGCTACCGGCAGGCGTCCCCGAGCAGGACATGGGCGTGAGCCCCGGACAGCTGCGGCTGGGGTGGGTCGGGGACCCGGCGCGGTCGGGGGCCCAGGTGAGCAGGAGCGGCTCTGCCGCCAGACCTGGGTTTGAATCCTGCCTGGGTTTTTGCGCCGCCGACGAGAATCCGCACCTCGCAGCGCCTGGGACCCGGCGATGTTGTACCTGAGGTGAAAGGTCGTGTGAGGCGTGGGCAGGACCGCGCGGAAACTGGCTGCCCGCGCTCGGTAGGTGCTCGCTTCTCTCTTTCGCAAGGGAGGACCTTATTCTTTCCACTCAGGATCTGGCTGACTCCTCCCAACCACCTGCGGTCCGTGCCGCGGCCCCGTTTAGCCGTGAACCGAAGGCTCGGGCAGGTGACCGAAAACATCCACGGTGGCGAACGGGGCAGGGGAAGGGACGAGCTTAGATTCCACAGCCCGTTCTCTGAAGCCCGGGCCTGCGTCTCTACCGCAGTTAGCAGCTTCCTTACTTAACGCCTCAGGGAAATAATTTTGAAGTCTGTGGCTTGGATTGGGGAGTTGCTCCTTGTTTCTGGAGAACCGGTAGGCCAGGCACGTACATGAGGACGTTGTCCACCCTTGCCTGTGTCCTCGCAGCGCTAGTTTGCATTTCCAAAAGGTCTGGCTTGTGATTGACGTGCCCGGAAGATCCAAGATGACCTTGGATGAGGATTCTAACTAAAAGGCTTAGGTCCATCTTTCCTGGAACAAGGCAGCGCTTGTGAGGTAAGAAGGGGAGGGTGGGGTGGTTCCAGGAGCTGGGGCATCCCGCCTAGGAGGACACTCAGTCGGTTGGTCTGAGACCTTAGTGAGATCCAGAGCAGAGATGGGAAAAGCAAAGACCAGGTTTGCTGAAGCAGAAGCAGCTTGGAGCTCTCCCGCCCAGAACCACTGCCACATCCAGACTCTCCGACACACAGCCTAGGAGATGGTGGAAACGTTGGGCCAAACCTCAGGAGAGATGTAAGATGTGGTGGGAGAGGAGGGCAAGGTAGAAGGAAGGAAAAAAAAACACTTCTTGGGGAGTTAAGAAGGAATCATGTGGAAGGAAGAACTTACAAGCCGAGAGGAGGAGACTACGTCCTCCATACCTTCATTCTTTACTTGCTCTTTCTAGATGCTGAGCTACTCATACACACAGCACAACTAGAGATACATTGATGCCCCCTCTATGCTCATCTACAGAATCAGAGTTGGACTTTAAGTCATCTATTTCATCTGTATTTAAAAGATGGGGGGGCGGGGTGGGCAGGAAATGAGCCTAAAATGTTAAGCGGCCAGTTACAGTGACGCATTTTGTTGTGGCGTGGTCAAGGGCACACATTGAGTCTCTTGAAGACCCAGGCAGGTGTTTTCTGCATTTACAACAGGTAAGTCAAAAACAGTTTGCTTTTTTTAATCAAAATGTATTTTTGAGAACGTGAAGCCAAGTTAGGCAAATTCTTTTTCCTTCCAAAAAGGACTGGGCCATAAAGCACTACATTTCTTTTTTTTTTTCAGAACCTTGTTGAGATTTTCTGGTTTATAATAAACATTGAAACCTGAGTATTTTTGTTCAGCATCAGTTTTAATGAAAGTATTACGTGTCTCCCATTCAGAGGTGTTTTGCCAGCTGTGATGTGGATCTTTTTAAGCAGGTGACGTTTCTCATGATCTATCCTTCTTTCTCAGCTATACCATACTCCCAGTTTTCTGCATTCTTCCAACAGTAGTGGAAAATGATCACTTCCCAGGTAAGTTGTTTGTTTTTTCACAATTTTGCCTAAAAATGAGTATGTAAGGTTTAAAAAACATCTATACATTCATATGAAAATAGTAGAAATAACATCAGGGAAAATACAAAGGAGAGGTCAGGTTATAGTCCCTGGGTCACATACAGCCTGCTGCCTGTGTTTTTATGGCCACCACCTAAGGATGGTTTTTACATTTTTAGGTGGTTAAGAAAAAAAAAATCAAGAGTAGTATTTTGCGATGTTAAATTTGTATGAAATTCAGACTTCAGTGTCTATAAAGATTTATTGGGACACAGCCATAGTCATTCATTTATTTATTGTCTATGGGTGCTTTAAAATTACAAGGGCAAAGTTGAGTGGTTACAACAGAAACTATATGGCCCACAAGCTATATTTACTGTATGACTCTTTACAGAAAATATTGCTGACTTCTGATACAGAGTAGATCAATAGTATGGCAAAGATGCCATGTAGCTAAGTGCAAATCCTATGATCTTATTGAGTTGTGAAAATGGAACATAAACCAGTTTTTTGGTAGGCTTTATTAGGTGATATTATCAACCATTAAGAAATGGTATAATTCTTGTCCAATCCAGGGGAAGAGTTAAGAGATGGCAAGAGAAAGTATGTGATTAAATAATTCAAATGTATTGTGCCAGCATTAGGACTCATGATTGTTAAACAGTCCTGGTAGATTGGGGTGATCAAGGGTGGTGGCAGCCTTTGTGACAGCTCTGGGAACGGAGCAGAATCTGCATCTTTATAGAATCTGTTGAGCGATTCCACTTTTTAAAAAAAATTGTTGCAAGATATACATCACATGAAATTTACAATTTAACCATTTTAGAGTGTAGAATTCAGTGACATGTAATACATTCACAGTGTTTTGCAACCATAGCCAGCATTTACTTCCAGAATATTTTCATTACACCAGAAGGAAACACCTACCCTCAGTAAGCAGTTTTGTAACTTAATAAGCAGTTACTCCCTTTTTCTCCCTTCTCTCAGCCCCTGAGCAACTGATAATCTGCTTTCTGTCTTTATGGATTTGCCTGTTGTGACTCTGGCATATAAATGGAATCATACAATTTATGGCCTTTTGTGTCTGATCTTTCATTTACCATAATGTTTCAAGGCCCATTTATGTTGTGTGTATCAGTACTTCATCCCCCTTATGACTGAAGAATATGTATATTCTATACCACCTTTGTTTATTCATCAATTGATGGATGTTGGGGGCGATTTCATGTTTGGCTATTGTGAATAGTGCTTCTGTGAACTTCTGTGTGCTAGTATTTGAGTACATATTTTCAAGTGTTTTGGGTATATACCTAGGAGTGAAATTGCTGAATTATATGATAATTCCACATTTAAATTATTGTGGAACCACCAAACTATTTCCACAGCAGGGTTCCTTAGAATCTATATGAATTTTAGGTTAGCTTTTGTATTTCTGCAAAAAAAATCTGTTCGTTTTTTTTTTTTTTTTTTTTGAGACAGAGTCTCACTCTTTTGCCCAGGTTAGAGTGCCGTGGCGTCTGCCTGAGCCTCCCAAGTAGCTGAGACTACAGGCATGTGCCACCATGCCCGGCTAATTTTTTCTATATATTTTTAGTTGTCCGATTAATTTCTTTCTATTTTTAGTAGAGACGGGGTCT